TTTCAACGCATTATAGTACACTTCAAGTGATTCGTAGACAGGTGTACCAAGTCCTGCCGGGAAGATGATCGTTCTCCCTTCACCTTTATACATGTGGTTCACACGGAAGTCCCAGAAAAGGTCAACTCTCGCTTCTTCCCACATTTCTCCTTCTTCGGTCATCTCTTCTATCTCTCGTTCAAATCTCCTTTCTGTTGCTACCGGATCGAGAGGATCTTGGATTCCTTTCTCGACACGTTGCAACCAATGGTTTAGCCATCTGCCTCTTCCAATTATAAAACTTTCCACGCATGACAACCACGTTCGATATCTATTCCAATGATACCGTTCGATGTGTGGTTTCCACATTTCGTTTGTCCGCATGATGCTTTTCGCTTTCTTTTGGGCATGACCTTTAAGGTCTGCTAATGCGGCATTACATCTTGGCCATTCTGAAGGGTCATCTTGAGAGGCATTTTCACAACACTCCGCGCATTCCCATTGTGGTTGCACTCTGCACGGATCCTCAAAGTAACCGTGGTGACAACTCCCGGCTCGTTCTTCTGGAGTTAATGTCCTTTGACTCGCTTCAGGTTTAACCTGTTCCTGTACTGTGGTATCTTCCTCACATTCGATTGAGTCACGCTTTTATCCTCAGAGGATATTTCAATGACCTCTGGTTCTCTTTCTGTTCGGTGACCTTTCAATTGTTCGAGTGCCTTGTCGCGGATTTCGCTTGTAAACATCTGTTCCTCTTCAGCTATTCGTTTCAAAACTCGTAACCTTTCACTCTTTTTATCCTTCCCCACTTTAGCCGTCTTTATTTCCAGTGCCTCTGGTACTGGGATAGGCTTTGCCCACTCCATGTCTGGCACAAGAGATTGTTTCGCTGCAACTGCCGCTTCTTTCTGTGTGGCAATTATCTCTTCAATCGTTGGTGACCTTTCGGTAGCAGGTCGTGGTTCGAAAAGGGTTCCTTTGAGAGTCACGTTCTGTTACTTCCTCTTGGCTTTATCTGGTAGCCTTTCATTTTGGGTAGCAGATCGTGGTTCGAAAAGGTTCGAATTACGCTCTCGTTCCAAGTTCTCAGTTGCTGGTGACCTTTCGTCTTCCTTTCCCAGTGCCTCTGGTACTGGGATAACTTTTCCGACTTTTCCATTTTCATTTTTCGTTTCCAGTGCCTCTGGTACTGGGATAATTTCTTCCTGCTGCACTTTTGTCATTCCCGGTGCCTCTGGTACTGGGATGACCTTTTCTCTTCCCTTCTGTGCCAGCAAGGTCCGATTTAATGTCTTTTCGATCTCCTGCTGAATCATTTGCAACTGCTCAAATGGTGACAATTCTTTTCGCGTCATCTTTTTTCTTTTCGTTTCCCGGTGCCTCTGGTACTGGGATTAGCGTTTTATTAACCATTTGAGCATTTCCCGTCTGTTTTACAAGTTCGGTGACCTTTCCGACTTGAACTTTGGCGACTGGTTTTGGGTCGTCTTCTTTCTCTTCTTCACCTTCGTTATCCATTAGTACGAATTTCTTTTCCAAGAAGTCAAATCCCAATAACACTTGTACGTCGTCACACTTCGGTCGGACGTAGAATGAATGTTCGCTTGTCTTCTTTCTTAAGGTCACTGGCGCTACACAGTAGTGCGTCACCAGGAATCCTGACGTTCCGCTAATTCCATTTATTTTCACCAATCTGTCAGGTGGCAATGGGAGCATGTGGAGTCCATTCTTCTCGCAAAACGGTTTGCTGATCAGCGACGTCTCAGCGCCGGTGTCCAACATTGCGTTGACCTTTATGTCTCCCACTTTCACTTCGTGTGTGTACGCTTCAATTCTCTTGGGCAGTTTTCCATTTTGAATCTTCAAAGTGTGAATCTTACATTTCACAGGAATGAGCGATACTGGTCCCGGATCCATATCGGGAAGCACTTGTCCTTTGCTGGAGTGCTATGACCTTTCAATATCTCGCTCAACTTATCAATCCTATGTGGGACGTTAGTCCGAACATCGTAATATTTTCGCGGCTTTGTCTTTTTTGTTGCTTCTCTGGAGCCATTTTACCACTGGTGACCTTTTCGCACATTCCGCACTTGCTCATTTGCTTTTGTGCTGTGCACGTGACCTTTAGTCACTTCATTTATCGTCTGATGGATTAGTTCCTCTTTACGGTTTTCATTTCGCTTATCTTGCATCTTCTCAATAACTTTGCTTGTTATTTGGTCAGCTTGTTTCAGTTCATCTGCTTCGCTGTCTTTCATCTCATCTGGTGACCTTTCATATGTAACCATATCATATCCCTTTTCGGTCATCCATTGCATCACTTTGCAGATACTTCATTGTTCGTTTTCGTTGGGTCAATTTGCGAAGACATCCCGTCTGTTCGGGCTGGTGACTTGTCATTGGCATCCTTTTGCAGTGCTTGTGATAAGTCCCGTGACCTTTCAACTGCGCTACTCTGTTGCGTTTGCGCTATCTCATTTGACCGTCCTTTTTGTTCATTTTGCGCTAAGTCCTGTGACCTTTCGTTGCGCTTCATGACAAATCCGCCACCTGTCAGCTTTTGTATGGGGACTTTTTCTCCATAATTCGGCGGTTTATCCTGTGGTGGAGCATTACGTGAATGATTCCAGTCAGCGAATGTCTTCTTATATTCCTCTGGATTGAATACTGGGACTGGGTTCGGTGACCCTTGCGCTGGTTTCCCGGTAACCAACTCTTCTAGTCGCTTTCTTTCACATTGCGTTCGCAACTGTTGCATGTCCCAGTAGTCCTCTTGTGACATTTTCGCTTTCTGCTTTGCCTTCGGCGTTACGGGTATCCACATCCCGTGATTGCCATTCGGTCTGTAGGCCACTTTTTTGCCACTTTTCCTTCTGTTGCAGCGTTATTGCATCTACAAGTGAGTCATCGGAGTTCTGTTGTGCCAATTCGCCATTCTTTTGCTGCGCTGTTCGCAGTGTCAAGTCTGTTTCTTGACCTTTTAACACGACGCTGTCGCCGTGACCTTTCGCATTCGCACTCGCTCCTTGACCTTTAACTTGGACTTTTCCAACAGAAGGTGACCTTTCATCTTTACTAATGACGGTGATATTCTGCTTAATCCATTCTTGCCTTATTCGCTTCTCTTCTTCGTCTTCTGAACAATTCCAAAACTTTGGCTTTGGTTCCCCGTAACAATCGCACCTTGGCTCATTCGCCTTGTCGTTTTCTGCCAAAATTTTTCGGGATTTTGCGTGCTGTTCATTTTCCTCTTGCGCAGTATCGTTCTGCGGTGGTGATTTGGTCGTTCGACTTGCCATTTATCTGTTTCCGGAACCATTCGTGGTGCATTTCCACTTCTTCTGCGGTATCGGTTTGCGGTTTCTTTTGATTTAACAGCGCTTGTCGAGTCTTGGCATTACGTAATGCACGACGTTCAGCTAACACTTTCTCGCTGCAATACGGTGACCTTTCATTTTGCTGCACTTTTTGCAGTGTCGCGCTACCGTCACGACAATTCCCACTCGCAGTACCATTCTGCGGTGACCTTTGGTCCCGTTGCACGTTTCCACTCGCAGTACCATTCTGCGGTGACCTTTGGTTCTGTGACGGTATCCCCATAACCGTTCCATTTCCTTTTTGTGATGACGGCATCCATATAGCCGTTTCTCTTTGCTGTGGCGGCATCCATCTAGCCGTTTCTTGTGGTTGCGGCATCCATATAGCCGGTCCATTTTGCTTTTTCGCTGACGGCATCCATATAGCCGTTGCAGTGGTCACGTTCACTGCAGTACTATTCTGCAGTGGTGACCTTTCCCTTTTATCCGGTGGTTTAGGGTCGGGTCGATCAGTAGGCTCACCGGTGCCTACTGATCTTGCCCGTTTCCCTGAACCGGCGCCCCACCTTGTTGTACGCCTTGCACATTTGCTTGTTGTTGTCCGATATTATTTGCCGGGTTAGGATTCTGTCCGCCACCGTTATTATATTGGCCGCCACCCTGTTGGTAGTTTCCTTGGCCGCCGCCATTGTTCTGGCCTCCTCTGAAGTTTCCGCGGCCGAAGCCTCTGTTTCTTCCTCTGAAGCCGCCGCGGCCGAAGCCTCCACGGCCGAAGCCGCCATTCTGGCCACCGCCATTTCCATTTCCGTAGTTCCCGTTTCCATTCCCTTGTTGGTTTTGGAAGTTTGCCTTATGTTGGTACCATTGGGTGATGAGGTCATATCCGTTTGCGACCGCTGGGCGCCAGCCACCTATAGCTCGGAGGCGTTGCCACTCGTTAAAGGCAAACAGATTCGGGTTCTGTTCTGGTGGTGTATTGGCGAACTTGCACCCCTGTGTCTGATGGTTGCCGTACATACAGTACTGGCACATCTGCACGTTGTTCGCCACCCATCCATCAATCATCTGGAACTTGAACTCTGTTCGTGATCCTTGATTCTGCTGTTGATTCCTCTGAAGTTTCCTTGACCTTGACCTCGTCCCTGGTTCTGGAAGTTCCCTGACCTCCATTCCAGTTTCCATTTCCGTATCCGTTTCCGCCGAAGTTTCCGTTACCCCCTCCTTGTTGTGGTAACCCCATATTCGGAGGCATATTCTGAGGTGGCGGCTGGGCTACATTCTGGGGAGCCACATTCTGGGCTACTGGCCTCACCTGGGCCGCTGCCTGTATCGCTGCCACCATTGCGTATGTTAACGGTTGCCCGGTCTGACTGTCGATAAAGGTCACTTCCTTTGTGACCTCTTGGGCCGGCGCCTCTCTACGGTACTCGACTGGCTGTTGGACTGGTGCAGCCGCCATCCTCTGTTGCGGTACATTTTCAACTTGGCCTTGGCGGATGGTCACGTATTCCTGATTACGTTGACCTTTAGGCGCCTTATATTTATCTTCTCCCGCTGACCAGTGACGGAAGAAATCTTTGATTTCGGTTGGAGTCCTGCACTGTTGCGTGCGTAGTGCCTTATAAAGGTCACCATCCACTCTACATCCTTCGATCAGGAATCCGACTGCCTGCTTTTCAGTTATGATCTTCTTCGCCTTGTATTTCATAATCGCTTGATAAAACTGATCAAGCGATTCCTTTCCGAGGTCAAATTTCCTTGCCATGGCTTCTCGTAAGCCAAGAACTTCCTCGTCACGGTCTCCATATTCATCTTTAAACTTGGCCATCCATTCTGTAATGGTGTATTCCGTTTCTTCTTGGAGTGCGATTTCTCTCTCCTTCGAACCAGGTCTTCGCCGGTCCTTTGACTGCGCTGGCTATTTCAATCAAAATCTGATCGTCAGTGAGATGATATGTCCGTTGGGTGTCTTTGACCAATTGTGTCCACCCATTCACTGCGTCGCGACTTCCATCAAAGGTCACTAGGTTTGTCTTGCGCCCCATCGATTGGAGTGCGTTCACTAATCTCTGTGTCGCATCATTGTCTTCTGCCGTACTGGAGTCACTATCGTCATCGTCCTTATTTCGCTTCGCTTTTCCGTAGCGGGACTTCCTTGGGCGTTCTTGCCGGCTAGACGGTCTATCCTGTTTCCTTTCATCAATGAAGATTTTCGTTTCAATATGTGGATGAAATTGGGTGGGATCACCACGATTCGAATGGGAATAAGTTTCCGATGGTGGCTCCTTGTCATCCTTGACCTTTTCCCCGTCCTTTTCGTTTTTGACACTTCCTCTGCCAGTACCGGTTCGTAGCGGCATATCAAAGTGGAAGCTTTTGCCCGTGCCCGTTTCGTGCGCCTTGCTGTAACTGGGCGGGGGCGACTCCACTGTTGAAGTCCTGACTCCATATTGCAGAAGCTGTTCATCTTTGTGCTTATTGGACATAACAAGCGCCTTATTCTCATCCTCAAGGCGACGGACTTTCAACTGGACTTCCTCTTTCTCCGTTTTCAAGTTCTGATTCTCCTCCTTGACCTTTAACATATGTTGGTGGAGTTGGAAAGTCTTCTCCTGAATGACCTTTTCAGTGTCATTCTCCACCTTTTTAATGTGTTCCGCCAACTGGGTCACATCCCTTTCCAGCTTCGTGTATTCCTCGACTGCTGCTTTCAGTTGGTTTTTCGTCTGGGTGACCTCATCTTCTCTTGTCATCACCGTTTGGGTCATATCAATCAGCTCCGTGTTGAGCTTGATAATCTCCTGCGTCTTCTGGTGGACTGATTGTTGCCACTCCTTATCTTTCAATTCAAGTACCGTGACCTTTTCATCCAGGAGGTGTGCCTCGTGTTCCCACCTCATGCCTTGCTCGGCAATTGTCTTAGCAGTCTTTTCAACTCGGTATTCTCTTCGGTGACCTTTTGAACATCTTCTTTCAACGACTTGTTCTCTTCCATCACCTGCTTAATTTCGTTCTTCAACCGCACACCTTCAGTGGCTGTAAGCTCCCTCAGGTCCTTAGCCACTTTGACAGCGTCGTCGGCTCTCCTCTGATGATCCTGTGATTCTTTTTGAAGGGTTCCGATGTTCTCGTCCCGTAACTTCAATTCGTTTCTCAGCTTAAACACCTCATTGGTGTTTGTCAACAATCGTTGAGTAGCGTCGACGAGTTTGGCCGCGTATTCATCTCGCTTGGCTTCCGCTTCGGTGACCTTAAGTTTCAGTGAGTCACATTCGTCCTTCAATTCCGCTAAGTGCCGTGACCTTTCGGCTGATTCCTCTGACATGCTCTCGTTGAGGTCACTGACTGCAAGATGACCTTCCATTTCTCTGTCATCCACCATTTTCAAGTACTCTTCAGCGAGTTCTTTTTGACGCTCGTATTTGATCTTCCATTCGTCCGCTGCACTTTCCAAATCCACCTGTTGTTGTTCCAGCTCATAAATACGAGCATCCAGAGATCCTATCCGATTTTGATATTCCTGTTTCTTCTTCGTCACTAGGCCTTCCTTGGCTTCGAGTTCTTCTTCCAACTCCTTCACGCGTCTCTTGAGAGTTGACGTGGGGCTGTTCGGTGATGGCGGTCTAACATTGATGACCTTTCCAGTTTGTGTCCTTTCAATAAGGTGCTCGGGTATGTCCTTAAACGGTGTCATCCCTTCAGCACGGTCAGCTTCTTTCATCGCGGTCTGGAAGGACATATTCATTGTCGCTTCATCATCCGTGAAGTATGACTCGTTCGATTCGTCTGAGACCATCGGAGTTGCCCAAAGGTCATCACCGACAGTCTTATCGTGCAGTGAAAGGTCATCCAATCCCAGTTCAGCCAATTCCATTTCTGTGACCTTTGTCCTGTCAGCTTCCGACTGAACCAGGTTTACATTTTTATCCTGTTCAGTAGTTCCGATAGTGGTAGCATCCGACTGTGATGCTCCAACTAGTTCCACTCCTTTCCCTGTGGGTATTTCCTCCCCGGTGACCTTTTTCTGGTTCATCGGATCACTTCCCGCCGTAGACGCGGGAGTGTGCTTCTGGTCGTCGCTTGAACTTTCCTGATTGGCGACCGCCTCGAGCGCCTTCTGATAAGTGCTATCAGAGCCTCGTGAATCCTTCTTCTCGAATGCCTTGGGCGCTCGAGTGTTCCGCTCATGTCCAACTGGACGTGAGTACGGGTACAGATCCTTTTTGTACGGATTTGGTGCGCTTTGCTGTGAGCTGCGGGAGCTTTTGCTTCCCTGACTGCTGTTGGATGTCGGTTCCTCTTGGTCTTTGTCCATGTTGATCGGATAACTTGGACGCTCCTGCCAATTGTTCTCACACACACGTTATTGTATGGTTTATTCAAGTATCCTAAGGGTCACTCTGTACCTCCGAAATTTTTCTAAGTCCTTATTAAAGGTCACTTTTCGACTGAAAAATTTCGACCAAGTCCCGTTTTAAAGGTCACTTTTTCGATAAAAAGTTCGAGAGATTTGCCCTAAAAGGTCACTTTCGGACAGAACTTCGAAACCGTTCTTACAGTTCAGAACACGTTAACGATTGAATTCCTACAGCTGCTGATATCGCTGTACTACCAATCAACTCGATTCAGCTTTATGAAAGGTCACTGTTGATCACTTTCAGATCATAAAGATCACTAAAATGGGTCAATTTGATCAATTCCAACTTTTTGGTAAAGGTCACTTTTCAAAGTCAAAAGTCAACTTCTGGTCTCAAAGGTCACTTTCCGACTCAACTCAGCTCAAAAGATCACTTTCCAGCTCAATTTGCAAGTTAAAGGTCAATTTCCAGCTCAATTCTATCAAAGGTCACTTTCTAGCTCGGTTTTGATCAAAGGTCACTTTTCCTTTGTCTGAACTTAAAAGGTCACTTTCCGTCTCACTTATCTCATCTCAAATCAAATTTCCCATTATCGCTCAAGTTCAACGGAAAATCCCCATTCGGGTTGTTTACCTCGTTCCGATTGGTCTGCTAGCTCAAAATGTTCAGTTCAAATTTCAGCCAATCACAGTTCAGATAACTGACCAATCATGTTAATCCGTTTAAAATTTTTATCTGCCTGACGTCACGGTCAACGGCCAGACATGCGCGCCGCGTGCAAAACTCCGCCTACTTCTACGCTCAGCTCAGTACGGGCCAATGAAAAATGAGAATTTTACCATCTAACCAATCCCGTAATTAATAACGGGTTTTCTACCTGTTTCCTCGTCCGTTCCACGAGAATCGATCCAGATGATCCAGATTCTTCTTCCACTGTCCGTTCCCGCGCTGCCGCCGGTTTTACCGTAACGGTTGTGCCGCACGCTTTCGGTGAGTTACTGTGCCGGCTGACTGCCGTAGCAACAGTAGTGGCGCTCTACTCCAGTTTGGAGGAGTCTGATCTGTCTTTTCCCGTGCACCCCTTTTGGCGCTTCGCCGCTTGTGGCCCACGGCTTAGGCTTCGCTGAAGCCTTGCCGAGTAACGGTGACACCAGTGCAGGTCTTCGCTGAAGACTCCGCACCGAGGAACACCGCCGACTGAACTCTTTGACTCTTGCACAGCTAAGGAAACAGTACGGTTCTTCGCTGAAGATCCCGTACCGAAAACCGAAGCTGGAAAATCCACGTCAGATGAGGCAGTTCACCGCTTGTGGTGTGCGCTTTGCTGTGAGTACAGACCTGTGCCTTACTGGTCGGGTTCCACGTCAATAACAGGCCAACTTTGCCTGACACAAATCAAATCAGAGAACCGCTGTCGGCTCTGCTACCATCTAATGCTAGATCCAGCAGTGATCCAGATACGGAGACCTAAACGGAATAGATCCCGTGGAGTGAGCTATGCGATAAGTATAGCGAACTACGCGGAATCGCGAAACGTCGCACCGCTAATAGCTGACTTTTAATTAATTGAAAAATTCCGACAACAGAAAATCAATAATGATCGGCGCAGCTCGATCGTAAAGCGTGGAGCCCATTCAACAGTGTGTAACACTGTGCAGCACGTGCTATGCCGCGCCCACTAACACAACTCAAGCCAATCAAAAGAGTCACAACACAGACACGTAATCCTAAGGCGTAGCGCCACAGGCGTAGCGCCACTGACGTGAACGCTAGTGATCCCGGTCTCACATTCTCATCCAGCGTGAAATTGTCTCAGCCTTATCAGGTTAACGGGGAGGGTGTCCCGAATGTTAATTCCGCCAAATACTTGGGCATTTATTTAGATCGTAGCCTAAAGTGGAAGCTACAGTCCGAGAATGTGTCTGGTAGGATGCTGCAGCGGTTGAGGTATCTTAGCACATTGTTTCGTGCTCGCGACGTGTCGGCTCGTTGTGTATTGTATACCAGTCTTGTTCTATCTGTCTCTGATTACTGTGCGTCCGTAACGTTTCCTACACAGAAAGGGCTAATCGATAACATAGAAAACGTGCAAGAAAGATTTGTCAAATCGTTGCATCTTAAAAGTGACAAAAATAACTATACTGGCAGGCTAAAAGAGCTTCAGTGGGAGCCGATTGTACTTCGAAATTTAAAGCGTAGCCTTCAGCTGACGTACAAATTCATGTACAGCTTAGTTCCCTATGGGGACCAGGTTTTTCGCTAAGATACTGCTTTGTGTTCTGGTGTTTCAGGTGCTACCCGTCATCGACAAAGGATGATCAAACACCCTTGCCCGATTGTTGCCACTGGATCAAACTTCTGCGGTCACAAACTGCCTCCGTCGGACAGATCGTTTGCTTATCGGATGGCGAGAATTTGGAATGACTTGCAGATTCCAGCAGAAGCATATCAGAGTCTTGGTAAATTTACAGAAGTTTTGAATTGCGTTGACTGGAAATCCGTTGTGTCCTTAAAAAAGTTTTACCGCCCTAAACATGTGTCCCTGTTGGAAATGTGAATACTTGTAAAATTGTTAGTCTGCTGCTGTTCTACGCTTATTCTTTTGTTTCTGATGTCGTGTCTGCTGCCCCGGATTGGGTCTAAACCCAGATTGTGTGCGGACGTTAAATCATTAAACTTAACTTAAACTTAAACTTAAACAATTTTCAAAAAACTACCTACCCGAAGCTTCGAGACTAAGTGACGTCACGTGAGACGAGGTATCATAATTTTTATATTATTTTAATGATATTCATCCTGGATACGATTGAAATCCAGGTGCCCGGCGCCCGGGTATCCGTCCAAACATGGATATGCGTTCGATTTGTCCAAATCTACTGTTTTTTCCTGGAAGTGGACGACTCCGGGGAAGGAGTACGTGTCCGTTAATAATTGGTGTTCTGAGAAGGACGAAAAAGCACCATGGTCTGTTTTCGTGGCGTTTGTACTGGTCCACGGATTTCCGCAAACAATTTTGCTTTAATTTGATATCTGGAAACATGCTTAACCAATGCGTGAGTATATGTCATAATGCGAATTCCGAATGTGATACCGCATTGGCACCTGAACATATTTTGGATTATAAATATTAGGTGGATCTCCAAGTGCGTAGTAAAAGTACAGAGAACGTTGGAAGGAAGTTAGTTTAATTCTAATGCTATTTTGATCACCGACGAGTTGGATGTCTAACTGAGCAGCTAAGGAAAATCGAAGTGGGTCCATAGTTTTAACATGTGATTGCTGGTACTTCGTTCGGGAAAGGAAGGTGTTGCAGTATGAACTGACTGTTGATCCAAACTTCAGAATATTTGGGAGCATAAAATCGACCAGTGTACTCAGGTCATAATTCCGCGGAAATAATCGATTCCCATTAGTTTTATCTATTCGGTCCTTTTTTTCGTTCCGATGCGCCTCCGATTTCATCCACCTTTCCCGAAGTAGTTTCTGCTAAAGTACCCGGGGGCAAAACCTGCGTTATCAGTTTTATTATTCTTTTGGTAAAC